GATAGAAATGGCATCAAACTCAGCAGCACCTGCTTTCTGACAGACTGAGGAAAAAAAGGCCTTCTTTGCAAAGGTGTAATTAAAAAAAAACCCAACAAACAAAAAACAAAAAACAAAAAAAAAAAAAAAAAAAAAAAAAAACCACCCTCACGCAGAAAAGCAATCAACAGGAATGACAGGGAGAAAGAAATAAATCAAACCCCTCGCAGCCCCTCGCAGTCTGGTGAAACCCGTTTTTCTGTGTGTGAAATTCCAGGAAGCATCATCCAACCCCATGTGTGAGTGGTCACCTGGAGGCAGCAGCAAGGAATCTCTCTGCGAAGCATAAAAGAGTTTTTGTGAAGAGCAGAAGACCCTGTGGTTAATCAAGAGAGCCACGAGTTCCAAAAACAAAGACAAGGCAAACCACACTGTGCAAGGGGCAGTCTCATCGGGCTCCAGCTCCAAGACCAACRACCTTGTGCAAGAAGGCTTTTGCTGAGCAACTGCAAAGAAATACTGAACAAGGAAGTGCCATGAGAACAATTGAGAAACACCATTTGTGTGCCAGAAACTCGTGCTTGGAGATAAAAGGTACAGGAGGAGAAACGCCCGCGTGACTGTGGGCTCTGCCATGGACACGGGACTCCATGAACGTGCTCCAGGGCAGAATCTTTGCCAAGAAAAGCAATGTGGGGCCTGCAGACAAAGGATGGTCCAAATCTTCTGTGATGCCGGAACTGCTGTGGACCTCCAGAGGGCGGGGGACAGYAGGCTGTGGTGCCAGATCCMACCTCAACCAGGAGCAGCATCACTCTGGATCCCTAGAGAAACCATCCAGGAAAAATCCTTGAGGCACTTTCAATAAATGATAAGGTTAAACGGACCCAAATTCTGGACTCAAACTGAATGCAGCCCGAAAGTAGGGTCCTGCTGACATCACATCCTCCCCAAAGAGCGGCAGAGCCTCCCAAGCCCAGTGACAAAGATCATCTGAGCTGCGCTGCAGCGGCCCCAGGGACGGACGGACACCCCAGCAGAAGATGGACAGCTCTCCTGCCCTGCTCCTGCTGCTCGCCCTGGGGCTCTGTGAGTACGGACACGGGGCTGGGCAGCCCCTTCAGCGGGAGGGG